GGCCCCGCCGCAGCTGCAGCTGCAGCCGCGGCCCGGCGAGGCGATGGCCAAGGTGTCGGTGCTGAACGTGGCGGTGCTGGAGAACCCGAGTCCTTTCCACAGCCCGTTCCGGTTCGAGATCAGCTTCGAGTGCAGTGAGGCCCTGGCGGACGGTGAGCTGGGCCCGCTCGGGGACGCCTCTCCCCATAGAGAGCGTCGCAGTGGCCAACCGATCTCCCCGGGACGTGCCCTGTTCCCGCTTCCGTCGGCCCGCGCGACCTCCCATCCCCCAGGAGGCCGCCCCACACAGGCACTCCCCTTCCCGGGTAGCCGCCGGGCCCACGCTTCCTCGTCCTAAGCACCTCCTTTCCCTGTAAAGAGTCTCACCTTTGGACCGGCAGCCCCTCAGCCACCCCCGTCCCAACCACTCGCCCCCGGTTTTCTCCTGGACATTTTCCATGCATTCTCTCTTCCCCTGTGACGAGACGCTCTTGTCTCTTTTTCCTTGTTTGCCCTGTGAAAACCTCTCACCTGTATGGCATTCACCCCATCTCCCTGTTTAACCCCCAGCCATCCTCTCCCTACCCACCTAATACCTAAGCCAACTGCAGTTCTGTCCTCCGTAACTGCTGCCACTTCTGCCTGATGCACACAGGGACCTGGCTCCCTGTTTAGTCTCCCCTAACACAAGCACACAAACACAAAAACACACAGACACATGCGCGCGCGCACACACTCAGTCTTGAGCCCCAGCACTGGGAAGAGGTGGCAGGACTTCTAGCTCTGGTCCTAGAGAGTGACTGGGTCTCCCCACTTCGGTTAGCTCCCCTCCTCCTTGGCTGTGTGTGTAGGGAGCACACTTAAGTCTGAGCGGTGGCATAGTCAGGTGAGCATCCACAGATTCCCGAAGTTCTTGGCGCCTGCTCCAACTCATTTAACTGCACGAAGTCCTCCCTCACTTTAATGGGCTGACCCTAGCCTGGGCAGCGGGTAGGCTGGGCTGAGTTGTGTCAAGATCTAGTTTCAGACAGCTGAGAGGTTGCGGCCTGCAGTGCGTCTTTCCCAAAGTGCTTTCACGGAGGGACTTATTCATCCCTGGGTGGTCACGGCTGTCATCTCAGAGGACAGGAGTCAGAAGGAGTAAAAGGCCTCCAAAGAAAAGTCTCCTCACCTCTACAATCCAAGATAGCCCAAGGAACTTTGTCATCACTCCAAGGATAGGCCTGCTTTTAGGAGGAAGTATGCTATCATACCATTTGTGGATTCGTGGCTAAAACAGAAGAGGTCGCAGCTGAGGAGGTGGAAATCTAAAGCTAGGATGTGCTAACCAACGCCTAGCAGTGGCTGGAGAGTAGTTGCTGCCAAAGCTGGCCACTTGGATTGATGAGGCTGTGTGCACCAGGGGTGGGCCAGTGATCAGTGCTCCCTGGTTTTTCTCAGTCTTTTTTAAATTAAAAAATCTACTTGTTGGGCCCGGCGTTTTAGCTCAGTGGTTCCGCTGCCTTCCTCACAAGTGCAAGGACCCAAGTTCGATCTCTGGTACCAAAAACAAAAAAAAGAAAAAGAGATCTTGTGACTAACTATAGAATAAGCAGAGTTAAATCATTTCGGGAACAAGGTAGGGTGTAAATAAATATATAAAGCGTCCAGTGACACTGTGGAATAAGATTTAATTTAAAAGCCAAGCTGAGATGTAAGGAGCTAATAGGTTAAGGGATTCACAGTTCCCAGATGGCAGGAGATCAGGTTTCATGCAGCCTGTTTGTGCTCCTTGCATTTAAAAATGGTTGCATGGTCATAACCTAGTACTTTTATTTCTTATTTATAGAATCAGAGCAGAAACGCTCCAGTCAACTTTCTGAACATTTTTTAGTAGAGATGGTGATTTTGCCAAGTCACCCCAGCCAGTTTATAGATATTCTGGCACTAGAGTTTGTCTCTCGAGTTCTGAAGCCAGATTTTTATCTTTGCTCTGATCCTGGGAAAGCAAGAAAACATTTTATTTTTACTTTTTATATTTCTCTTCTGGTGCTGGGACTCAAACCCAGGGCCACACATTCTATTACTGAGTTACACCTCCAGCCCAACACTTCCTGTTGTAGAAGTGGAGCAGGAGTAGGAATGACCATGGAATTTCTTTCCCAGCCTGGTGGTGCCCACCTGTAATCCCAGCACTCTAGGAGGATCGCAAGTTCTAATCCTGCCCCGGCAACTCAGACCCTGTCTCTCAACAAGGGCTGGAGGTGCAGCTCAGTGCAAAGGCCTTAGATTCAATCCCTAGTACCTCAGGAAAATTCACTATTGAGATGCAGAATGATAGCCGGGCGTGGTGGCACAGGCCTGTAATCCCAGCACTCAGGAGACTGAGGCCAGAGGGTCACTGCAAGTTACAAGGCCAGCCTGGGCTACATAGTTAAGGACAGCCTGAACTGCCTAGTGAGACCCTGTCTCAAAACAACAACAACAGAATGGGGTACTGTTGCTCATTATACTCAGCCAAGAGCCTTCACCTCAGGAACCTCGGGTTCAAGTCCCAGGCTCTAGTTCCATCCCCAGGGCTCTCCCTGCTGGATCTGCCAGCTGGATTTTTCCTTCCTGAACTTCTTTCCACAAAATACAGAGCATCTGTTTCCTGCCTTCCTCTTGCCACTATTGACTGAAGTTAGGACAAAGCCCCCAACTCGTGCTCAGGTGGCCCCATCCCCCAAGGGCCCTAAGCCCCCTTGTGCTGTCCTCTTGGCCTCTGGTCTCGAGGCACAGGTCTACGTGTAAAACACTAGGTGTGGCTCCCCGTGTGCACACACACACACACACACACACACACACACACACACACCGTTTAGCTGACAAACTCAGCAGACATGAGCAGAGCAAGTCAGAGAAGCCAGATGTTCTGACTCAGATGCTGCAATGAGAACTAGGTTTGTCGGGGTGGTTATGAGCAAAAGCAGAGTTCTAAACAAAAAGAACTACTAGATATGTTTACAAAAATAAAGTGACCCAGGTGTGGTATTATACACCTATGATTTCAGCACTTGGGAGACTGAGGCAGGAGAATCGCTGAGAGTTCAAGGCCAGCTGAATTACATAATGGGACACTGTTTCAACAAAACAAAAAAAAGCAAGCAAGCTGAGGGGAATAGCTCAGTGGCAGGGTGCTTGACAGTTTCCAAAATCATAGTGTTGGTTTGGGTTTTGTTTTCATGTATAGTGGAGATGTTTTTGTTTTTGTGTTTTGGTACCGGGGATCAAAGTCAGGACCTTGCACTTACAAGGCAGGTGCAGTGCCACTGAGCTAAATCCCCAGCCCCTTGGAGGCATTTTGTACCTGACAAATTGGGCCTGGGAGACAAAGTGTAATACAGGCAAGTTATCTTGACGTTGCCCAAAGGTCTAGTGCGCAGGTTATGTGTGTAGTTGTGTTCTGTGTCTGGTAAATGTGAATTTGTGCTGTGTGGGTGCCTGATGTTCCAAATCCAGTCTTGAGAGAGGTCATACAGTCCTCTCGAGACGGGTTCCAGGACCTCTCAGGTGCTAAAATGCATACCTGCTCAAGTCTGTAAAATGCTACAGTGTTCGCATGGAGCATCCTCCAAGTAAGTCTACACCGCTTGCCCATGACTTATGTACTTAATACTATGTATGTGCTGTGAACATCACTGGTTTTTGTTTTGTTTTGTTTTGTTTTTGTTTACTTGAGACAGGGCCTCACTATGTAGTTGAGACTGACCTGGAACTCACTGTGTAGCCCAGGCTGGTCTCCAACTCACAGTGATCCTCCTGCCTCAGCCTCCCCAGTGCCGGGATTGCAGGCATGTGCTACCACGCCCGGCACATCACTGCTGTTATATGTATTATTTAGGGAGTGGCAATATAGTCCATGCATGTTAACACACAACATTTAGGTTTTGATTTTTGTTTTTGCAGGGCTGAGAATCAGCCCTCATGCATGATCGACGAGCACTCTACCACTGACCTACATTCCCAGCCAGCACTCTTTATTCTTTATTTTCAGAAAAGGTCTTGCTAAGTTGCCCAGGCTAGCCTCAGACTTGCATCCTCCAGCTTTAGCCCCCTGAGGAGCTGAAGTTGTAGGCCTGTGCTTCCATACCCAGCATAATTTTTTCTCTAATAACTTGCATCCATGGGTGGTTGAACCCAGGCAGAGGGTTAAATATATTCAGAAATAAACGCTTTAAGGGGCTAGGTGTAGCTCACTGGCAGAGCACTTGCCTGACATCTATGAAGCCCTGAGTTCTATCCCCAGTGCTGTAAAGTAAGGGAAATAAAACCTGTAAATATCTCCATTTAAGCCACTTTGGCAAACTTAAGACAGTTTCAGTTTGCAGGCCCATTTTTAATCATTCTGTCATTCGTACCTGATCTGTAAGCTCCTCTAACCTTGGAATCAGTGCTTGTGTGTAATCTCATTTTGTTCTCTTCTTCTCTCTGGTTGCTGAAAGAGCTAGCATGGCCCATTTTCCTTTGGCACCCACAGTACATTGTCTCTTTTGTTGGCATCCATATGATCTTTGTTTAGTTTTGCCAACATGTTTTTGATTTGCTGGTAATGGTGGTGTTGGCGGAGGCGGTAGTGGTGGTTTTGGTTTTGGTTTTGGTTTTCTGAGACAGGTTCTCAGTATGTAGCCCAGGCTGGCCTTGAACTCATGGTGATCCTACTACCTCAGCCTCCCTAGTGCCGGGATTACAGGTGTGCACCACCATGCCCCACTGTGTCACTACTTTTAACATAAATAAATCTATAACGCTAAGGGTTTAACTGAATCCCAGTGAGCCAAATGGCTGCCCACATCCCACAAGACTTAGTGTCCGAGTGAAGGGCCTGGGTGAAAACTCAGAGGGACAGGAAGCGGTACATCGAGGAAGGGCTTGGGGCTCAGGTGACAGCCCTCTGCTGTTGTGGCCCAGTATCAGTACTCTTCCAGCATTGGATGCTTGTGTGATGCTGGACCCAGGGACAGGGCAGCTTCCAAGAGTTTACTTCCTGTGAAAATCACAGCTTGTGAAACTTCCCCCAGCTGCTGGAGCTGTGGGTTGTGTAATTTCAGAGAACCCAAAATAAGTTCCCCGTCTCTTGCCAAGCTTCCATGTACCAGTATGACCTTGCCCCTGATACACTTGGCCGGGAGCATCTGTGATTGACAGGAGGGTCCCCGCAAGCCCTTCCTCCTGCCGGTGTGCGCATGCTCAGGCTGGCCCCTTTCCTGGATCAGAGACAATTAGGTTTGTGAGGCTGCCCTTTAGAGTGTTGGCTGAGCCCCTGTCACCTTCTGTGCATAAGGAGGCGTGACTCGGTACCAGAACTGAGCGACCTGGGGACCAGCTGGCTGTCCTGCTGGATCGGAATCTGCCGCCCTGCCCTGCCCCAGTTGTCGAGGGATCCACTCGGCTCTGTGGCACCAGTCCCTGTGTGTGAAAGAAGATGCTGCTTCCTATCCCAGTGGCACCCAGTGGGCAGGGCCCAGAGTGGCCCAGCTCCCTACTGTTCCCTCTGCAGCGTGCCTGGGTCACGTGCCTCTTAATTCAGCCTCTGCCATACCGTCCACTCCAGCCTCTGAGAGGCCCAAGCTTCCCTGGAGGTCCGGCCTCAAGGTCCCAGCCAGGGCTAGGTCCCCACAGGAGAGATGTCCGCTGCCAGTGGAACTGAGCGCCTCCCCCAGTGTACAGCTCCTTCAGCAAATTCAGGATGTATCCAAACTAGCACAAAAAGCTCCTAGCCCCATCTTCTTTCTGTTGGGATTCCAGTGTCTTAATCTCCCCACAATGTCCCTGCAGACCTGGAGTGGAAGATCATTTATGTGGGCTCAGCCGAGAGTGAGGAGTTTGATCAGATCCTGGACTCAGTGCTGGTCGGCCCTGTCCCTGCAGGAAGACATATGTTTGTCTTTCAGGTAAGAAAGATGGCACTTTAGCCCTTGCTTCTAGAAACCTGTGTGTGTGCGTGTGTTGTTTGTTTGAGGCAGGGTCTCGCTGCATAGCCCAGGCTGGCTGGAATTTACAGTCTTCTTGGCTCAGCCTCCAGAGTGCTAGGATTAGAAGTGCGCACCACCACACCCAATCGCTCCCCTTTTTTTCTAATTCTCTGGTGCTGTGGATAGAACCCAGGGTCCTGTGCCTGCTAAGGAAACACTTCACCACTGAGCTGTATCCCCAGCCTAGAAAGATCCGCTTTTACCCAAAAGCACTCAGTATAGTTCAGCTCTCAGAAATTCAGGTTGAAGGCCAGCTGTGGTATGCAGCTGGGGTACTAGGATGTACTCAGGAGGCTGAAGCAAGAGGATCACTGAGTTCAAGGCCAGTCTGGGCTACATAGTAAGTTTAAATCAACCTGAACTACACAGTGAGACCGTGTCTCAAAAACAAAGTAAGAAAGTTAGTTCAGGGCCAGAGATTTAGCTCAGTGGTACCACCACCTTTCTCGCAAGCTCAAGGTCCTGAGTTCAATCCCCAGTACCAAAAAAAAAAAAAACAGTTCATCCCAGAGTGGTGGCACATATCTGTAATTCTAAGAGACTGAGACAGGAGAGTTAGGAGTCCAGTCCCAACCTGGGCAATGTAAGGAGACCATGTCTCAACATAAAAAATAAAGAGGAGGGGCCAGGGATTTAGCTCAGTGGTTCTGCTACCTGCCTCTCAAGCGCAGGGTCCCAAGTTCCATCCCTGGTACCAAAAATAAATAAAGAGGAGGCTGGGCATGGTGGTGCACTTCTGTAATCCTAGCACTCAGGAAGCTAAGGCAGGAGGTTTGCCTTGAGTTTGAGGCCAGCCTGGGCTACATAATGAGTTTAAGGTCTGTCTGAACTGCAATAGAGAGACCCTGTCTCAAAGACAAAAAAGAATAAAGAGAGCTGGGGACATTGCTCAGTGGTGAGTGCTTTCCTAGCATGCGTGAAGCCCTGGGTTCCACCCCTAGCACCACAAAAAAAGGAAAAGTTTAGCTCAGTTCTCAGGATCTTTCTGACCTCACTCACACATCCCTGTCACAGCTATGACAAGGAACTACTAGTTTATAGCTGGTTCTCATCACTCATGAGTGTTGTCCCCAGGAACACTGAATTGGTGAATACTGAACCCATAAGGAAAAGCAGTCCGCTCTCATTAACCGCTCAATCCACAGCCTGTTTTGTATGTCTCTGTTTAAAGACAAGGAGTTGGTTAGCCCTCCTGATACTTAAAACTCAAGGAGGAGATTTCTTCTTGCTTAGAGTTTCACAAGTTTCAGGCCATGACTTGCTGGCTTCCAGGAGAAGGGCCTAGTGAAAAAAAGCTACTCACTTCATGGCAGGCAGGAGGGAGAACAAGCAGGAAGAGTGCAAGAGGTACAGCCTCCAGGTGTGGTGGCACACACCTATAATCCCAGCATTCTGGAGGATGAGGCAGGAGCATCTCATGAGTTCCAGTCCAGGCTGAGCTGGACTGGATGAAGCCCCATCTCATAAAAAGGCACACCTCAGTGGCTCACCAACTCCAGCAGGAGGGCCTCCTAACAGTGCACTCAGCTATGAACTCATCAGTAGGCCGCTCAGTCCACCAAAGAGCACAGCACTCATGCTCCAGCTCCCCTCAACAAGCCTTACTTTTATAAACATGAGACTTCTGGGAGTGAGTTAGGTCCAACCACAACAGACAGGTCATTTAATGTATATAGTGGATTCCTTCCCATTGAACTCAGCCCTGGCCCTGTAACTCACTGAAGGAAGCTGACCCAGCATGCAGTCTCTCCATAAGGCACTCCAGTGCAGTGCTTGGGAATCTTTTGTTTTGTTGGCTTTGAAGACAGTGGCCTCAAACTCAGTATCCTATTGCCTCAATCTCCCAAGTGCTGGAATGATGGATGTGCATCACCACATCCAGCTGTCTTTTATGTTTTGTTTCTGTGGTACTAAGCGTTGAGGCAAAGGCCTTAGCACTGAGCTACATTCCCAGCCTGTTTTTATTTTGGGATGGAGTGTTGCTAAGTTGCCCAGGCTGGGTGCAAAGTTGTGATCCTCCTCCCTCAACTTCCCAGAATGCCAGGATTACAGTTGTGCACCACTACCTTTGGTAACAACCTGACCAACAGCAAACTTACTAAGAAAAAGCACACAAAAAAGTGATACTAAGTAGACAATCAGAAGAGCCTTTGCTTGCTCTCAGTGAGAACCCTGAAACAAGAAGTCAGGATGTGGCTGGATGTGGTGGTGCACACCTGTAATCCCAGCACTCTGGGAGGTTGAGGGTGGAGGATGGAAAGTTAAAGCCCCACCTGGGCAATTTAGTAAGATCCTGTTTCAAAATAGAAAATTAAAGATGTAGAGGTGTAAGTGATTGTGAAGGCCCTGGGTTCAATCTCCAATACCCCCCACATATACACACACACAAAGGGGGACAGGATATCGCCTCATTTGGCATCTGGCTGGAATGTGAGCATTGAGGGACTGGTTTTCCCTTTCTCAGTGCATGTCTCCAAGTGACCACAAAAGCCATTGGTTCTGTGGTCACAAGTAAGAGTTTGTAAGTGACACTGCAGACACAAGCTCCATGCACAAGGAGGCTGGGCCGTCACTGGCCCTGCCCTCTAGCCTGGTATCACCTGGCCTGTAGGGGATGCAGCCAGAGAGCCTGCCAGGTTGCCCAGGAACATGGATGCTGTAATCTCCCTCTGCCACTACTCCCAACCCAAGTGACTGCATCCCCTCTGACTCTAACACCCCTCCCTGGTCCGGCAGCTCACTCCACATCTCAAAGCTGGCCTGCCAGTACGTGATCTGGGCAGTTGCACAGGGTCAGCATTCAGGGTAATACTGTGCTGTCGCTGTCTGACACGTGTCATGGTTGTGTGTAGGAGCCCTGTGTTGTCATTTGCAGCAGTTCCATTCCATACCATTCACAGCTGGTCCTGTGCAGGCCACTTCTGTCCTCTGCTGCTGCTGCTGTGTCTGTGTTGCTGCCTGTGCCTTAGCCAACCTTGTGTCGCAGGTCCCTGGCTACCAGCATCCTGGGGTTCTTACCTCCCACCGGATGCCACTCTCCTGATCCTTTATTGGGCTGGCCCGGGGCAGCGTTTCCTTTTCCTGGTACTAGGGATTGAACCCAGGGAGTGCCAAGCTACATCCCCAGCCCTTTTACATTTTGAGACAGGGTTTCATGAAGAGGCCCTTACTGGCCTTAAATGTGTAGTCTTCCTGCCTTAGCCTCCCAAGTGGCTGAGATTACAGTTGTGTGCCTCGGTACCCCACCAAGATTATCTTACACCACTCTGCTACATTCTTCCTGGGCACCCTATACCTCTTTGGCACATTTACCCTTTTTTCTTTTTGGTTTTGGTTTTCTGAGACAAAGTCTCACTATGTAGTCCATGCTGGCCTTGATATCAGTTCTCCTGCCTCAGCCTCCCAGGTGCTGGGATTACAGGTGTGCGCCACCCTCCAGCCCACATTTACCATTTAACAGTCGGGGTTATGATTGGTTCTGTCTAATCCCCTTTGACTGAAAACCCCTGACAGCCCAGAGCAGACTGGAAGCATGTATTGCTTGTGAATTTCTGTGCTGATGCTCATGGGTAAGGCTCCGGATGTGTCTCCTCCAGGCTGATGCACCCAACCCAAGCCTCATTCCGGAGACAGATGCTGTAGGCGTGACCGTGGTACTCATCACCTGCACCTACCGTGGTCAAGAGTTCATCCGTGTGGGCTACTATGTCAACAACGAGTACCCCAACCCGGAGCTGCGGGAAAACCCACCCCTAAAGCCTGACTTCTCCCAGGTGGGCTGCCTCACATGCACTTCCTGCCTGGGACGGCGATGCCTGTGCATTGGGAGGGTGAGCCATGAGAGAGGAAGCTGTTTTCAAATCATGCTCTGTTCCCACAGTGTCAGGACAGAATATGAGTCTTTGCTTCTCATGGTGGCCCCTAGGGAATCAGGACCAGGCTGCCCTGCTCCTGGCCCTGGTGCACAGCAGTCCCTGTGGTTGTGCACGTGGTTGGGAACAAGATAAGCAACTTTTGTTCTTTCTGGGCCTGAGGCAGGGACTTGGTATCCTGGCTCTACAGGTGTAATGACAGGGCAATAACAAGGACTGACATTGCTCTTCTGTCTCAGCTGCAGCGGAACATCTTGGCCTCGAACCCCCGTGTGACCCGCTTCCACATCAACTGGGACAACCAGGAAGACAGGCTGGAGGCCATTGAGAATCAGGATCCTGTGCTGGGCTGTGGCCTCCCGCTTAGCTACACACCAGTCAAGGGCCTGGGCCACCAGGGTGGCATCCCCAGCCTCCTTCCTGAGAACTCAATGGACTGCATCTAACAGGGCCCCCAGGCCTCCCAGAGCTGTGTGGGGGCATCTCCAGGACTTCAGAGCCACCAACTGCTTAAGACTCATCAAACATGGCCCCAGGGAAGGAGTGGGCCTTTCCCTGCCCAGCCCCCAAGATCATCTCAGTTCTGCTTAGCAGCAGGCCCTTGGGTTGCTTATTCTCTTTGACGTGTGTCATTCTCCTGTAGCATCAGTTCCTCCTGCCGTGAGTACCATGGACCCAAGAGTTTTCCTGTACTTTCTCGCCTTGAGGCATTTTTGCTTGATGCCTGGCAAAGGCCCTCTCATTCCTGTCCCTTCCCAAATATCTGAGTGGCGCACCCTGGCTTCCTGGTGTCGCAGACAAGGCATCTGGTTAGGGGGTAGACTCAGATAGTCTGCCGTCCCAGGAGGAGCAATAGGTATTTCCAACCAGCAGCCCCTAGAAAACTCTGCCCAGAATGCTAAGAGACAGTGACCACTCTGGGGAGAAGCTGGCACATGGGAGGTACCTGCCATGCCCAGACCGCTGCTCTCTGAAGCCACAGAGTGGTTTTGGGCACGGGAAGAATCTGGCATCCCAAAAACCTTCCTATGAAACATGCCCCCACCACCACCACCTCTGCATCCTGGTTGCCTGTGCTACATGGAAGCTGTTGTGACTCCTTTGTATATTAAAGTGTTTTTATATTAAAAGTGTTGGTTGGTCTAAAAATAAAAAGCACTTCGTCTAGACTGCCTGTTTCTGCTTTTGTCTAAGGTGGGCTGGGGCAGTTTCATCTCCTTACCACATGCTAAGGGGTGGTGGGTCTCCTGTCTGTGGTGCCCTGATAACAGCTGTGATCCAGGTTGAGGGTTGGGGAAGGGCTTTTGTCAGAAGTTAAGCAAACCAGCTATTCTGCAGACAGCATACCCATTGATTCTTTTAGGCTCTGACCTTGACCCACAGGAACAGAATAACAGCAAGATCTAAGTACACACGCTGCCACACTTTTACTAGCTTTCACTTAGTTGACTGGAGCTCCCTGGCCAAAGTCAGCACAGTTTGGCTGATCAGCCACATCCCCATAATTCACAAAAAAGCCCTGAGTCTCCATCCCTGCACTGTGGGCAACCTGGAGACAGTGCAAATAGCTACTGTGGGCTGTGCATTTGTGAGGAAGGGATGGGCAGCCCCTCTCCGCACCTCCTACATGGGGCCCCCCTCTGCTCGTGGGCTCCTCTTAGTGGTAGGGCAGTGATTGCACCCCGCCCCCTCGTACATTTAGCACCCTTTAGAGAATTTCGGTTGCCACAGCCAGCAGGAAGATGGAGGTGCTGGTGGCAACCAGTGGGTGGAGTCTGAGGTGCTAAGTGTCCGACTGCACATTTGACAGCCCTCTCCCCAGCAAAGAGCGAGCTGGTACCGATGTTAGCTCCCAGGTTCTGCCTGTGGGGAGCGCTCTGAAGGAGAGGAGTCGCCCCTTTCTCTGCCCCTGTAAGGCAGGTCTGGTCCAGAGGACAGGGAGCAATTCCGAGCAGGCTCCTAGTCTGCGACAGGAGCGCTTGTAAACGGTGCAATGAACCGGTATGCTCCTTCCCGGCGCCAACCTAAGGCTAGGTCCCGCCGAGGGGGTCGAGGGGCTCCCTGGCCCAGCATCCTCTTGCACCCCGGCTGTGGCTCAGGAAACCAACCCGGACCCAGAGGTGTCCGGCCGCGGCTGACCTGCGCCACACGTTGTGAACAACGCTGCTTGGTGGCCCAGCGACCTCTGACCCCGCGCCGGCCGCGCCCC